GAGGCTGGATGCCTACCTGGCTGGACTCGTTTGAGTCCCATTTCTCTTTTTGGGGTTTTTTGTTGTTCTCCCGCCCTGGCGGGGGGTCGGGCTAGAAGATCTACTAGGTCCCTTCCGACCCTTAATCTATGAATCTATGAACTAACAGAACCTGCTCAAAGGATCTTCCACAGATGAACCTAAGTTAGCTTCCTGGCCCTTGTGTTGCTTTCTCTCTACACAGGGACCAGTGAAGTTCTACTGGAGAGCACCTGCTGCTTATTCCTAGTCCAGAAAAAGGGCATTTCAAACACTTCAGCATTTTTATACGGGGTAATTGACATGATTCATTCACTTCTATGCTCAAGGGAGAGAAAACAGGAAAAAACACTTAGCAAGTCCTTGATTTGGTTCAGCCTTGACTATGACAGTGACGCATGCTGTGGGGAGCAAATTCAACATCCTTCCAGCTAAAATGCCATTTAACAAACCTAAATAACTTATTTTTCCTAAGTAACTTTGGAGAAATAAAAGGTAGGCACCCACTGTAAGGAGTAACTGTATTACCGAGGCTGCAGAGAAGGAATGTTTGGGACTGGAGAAGGAGCTGCAAAATCTGACTGAACAGAATGATAAATACGAATTAGCAATGACTTTTTGTGCCATCCAGTTTCTAGAGGAGGTTTTTCTTCTGCAACTGCTATGACTCAAGTTAAGTGGCAAGGATAACTCTCCCCTGCCTTCAGGCATATTTCTTCTGGCAGAACTAAATCCCGACTTGCACCCAACGTGCCTTCCGGAGGAATTTTACACATACCATCTTACATGCGTCCAGCACAAAAGAGGGAGCAGGGACAGTCCCCAAAGATCTAGCATCTAGAGTACAAAGATTTAGATAGACTTTATATCCAACACTGCCTGGTAGGGAGCCATGTGGAAGTATACAAGAGAACAGGAAAAGAATTTAGAAAAGTGCAGCTCCTATTTAAGTCAGTCATGGTTTTGCCCGTTTTCAGCCTTTAATTCTCAAGTATCCACATTTGTACAAGGTGAGCATTTCAGTAACTTCTACAGCTTTCAGTAGGTGCTACCATCTTTCAATTACTAGTCAGGCAATCCGTGCGCCTTGTATAAACAGTGGCTATTTGAAAGTTATTTACAGCGAGATGCATGCATGAGAATTGTTAATAAAAAGATACTGGAAACAGGGAATCAGTGTCCTCTAATTAAGACTGTCGTGATAATGGCCAAGGTCAACTCACCTGGAGAGCCATACTCATGCCTGGGCAACCTACAGATCTTAGGCATCACTTCCATTAAGGTCTTCACATACTGAAGAATCGTACCTTGCAGCTGAGGGAAGACAGATGGTCATCAACGCATTATTGTTGCTGAACTAACAATAGCCACGTTTATGCAGTTCAATCTACAGCTAGCTTGAATACTTTTTAAAATCTTGTGCTTCTTCACTCTGCAAGTCACCATCCTTTCTTTTCATACTCTTAAAAAAAAAAGCACACATACTCATAAAACACCCTTTAAAAAATACTCCAGTTGAATTATCTACACAAACTTTCCCCCAAAACAGACCAGACTATAGCTTTAATAAGCTTCCGATTACCAGAATTACAATTTCACATTGTAAACCCTGAACAAGTGAACTGACAGACAGTTTAACGCTTGAGAACCTACAAACATTTATGTGAATAAATCTACTTTCTTTAGCAATACCGTCTATGTACGTTAAATCATTAATATGCAGGACAAGGTCGAAATGACTAAGTTGCACGATGCTTTTTTCTAAATGAACTATGAAAAAGTAGTGGAGTGTCCTTACTGGATGAAGGTAGTTTTTAGGTTTATGAAGCGAGTGTCACGAGCATTTCCCTCGAGGCAAATTCAGTGGTAAAGGCCTGGCAAAAGATTACAGTGTTCTTGGTGTGTTTGGGATCATTACTAATTCTGTAGGGGTAAGTGTAGTGGTTTAGGGTTTTGTTTTGTTTTTTTTTTTAAATATATTTTATAAAATATATATTAACTGCTTGCAGGATAACATTCTGGATGGGGATCATGGTATCTAGAAGGTTGATGTTAGTGGAAGAGTATTTCAAAGAGAATGGGGAAGGGCATTTTGTGCCAAAAAGCTTGTCTAGCATCTCTCTCGACTATATAGTTGGTCAAATAAAAAATATTTCCAAAAAAACCATGTTTTTTCACATATTCCCTGGACCATCATAACTGTGATGGTCCTTAGACTATAGTGCTACTTAAAACAAAATGGTCAAAGATACCAAAGACAAGCACATCGTTTCCTCAACACACCTTTTTTCTCCTTACTTTATGATGTTTGGCTTAGAAAAGCTTCAGTTTAACATATATGTGCATGTGTATTTGCATCTTGTTGTAGTGAACTCTGTTGTCAGAGTTCAGAGGCCTTCACATCCCAGCATTCATAAGCAATATGCATTGTTATTCATACAATATTCATTACTCAAACCAGTGCTTGCTACAGCAGCAATGGCACAACATTAGCCAAGGCCTGCAAAAAAGATGTACAGAAAATTAGATCTTATTTCTTGCAGAAAAGGCTGCGCTTCCACTATGTGTCTTGTGTAGAAAACAAAGGCTCGAGACAGGTATAAAAATATTACATATATTTTAAGAGTCAAGATGACAAACTCAATATTGAAAAAAAGTAAGGCAATGCAAGAAGGGCCCAAATAATGATACAGTTTTTAATTCTGTAATCACATCCTATTCTTCCCTCTCCCTGCCTGGAGAGCTCAGTTCATACATACATCCCTCCATCTGATCTCATATACTAATTGCTTGTCTTCATACTTCCTCTTGTGTATCTTTTCTGTCTAAAACTAATGTGGTCAAAACCAAGCTTCTTAAGATCACCTCCAAACTACATTGCTATCACCACATTGTTCCACACGTCAGACCCCCAACTTGGGGGCTGTATGGAATTCCTCCCTTTCAGGCTCCCTACCCTCTGTACCTGGTCTATCCAAACAAGACATAACCATTGAAGTGATCCATTTGCCGTGTCTAACTGAATTTTATTATTTTCCTCTTCCAATACATCTGTTGTGTCATTACCTCCAAACCTTACCTTAGCTTTCCCCTACCCCAATCTTCACCTTCACCAGTATGCTCAACCTTGCTTGTCAGGCTTATGAGCTTGGCTCACAGTGCCACAATGGGCCTTCTTCCATATAGCTCCTTACAGATAGCCCTTCACTGCATTTAACTACAAAAAGCCACTCCCATCTACATTTAAACCCTCTGAGACACCCAAATCTATCAGGCTCCCTTCAGGGAATTACAACTTGTCAAAGAGAAGATCCTTATTTGAACCTTTTTCCTAACTTCTGTCTTTCTTTAGGCTCCTTCCAGCAGACATCCTCCTTTATCAAAAGGCTGTGATGACTGTGAAACTAAAGCTGAGCTGGGCCTACTCACAAAAGTTAAAATACAAAACATTGATGACAACTGCATAGTGGAAGAGGATGTAAGTTTGTGGCTGGACCTTCCAAAAAGAAAAAATGAGCCAGCACTTCCAGCTTATCTTACTATATTTATGATGATTTTAAGCAGGCTCCTCTTTGTCTGGTCTGTAACTGTGTGAAATGTCTATCCTTGATTAATTAGTACAGTAAGCATTTCTTTACAATTATTAACTCATGTTTATGTGTAGGAAGAGACATTCTCCATATGGGCTTTGATAGGCGTCTCCTCCTGATTTACTTCTGTTTTGCCTCAGTGGTTCCCCTGATCTTCCAAGGACGATGACTCAAAAATCTTGCATTCTTCCTGGTTGTTAATCAATTTCTTGGTATGTTCCAACTTAATAGAAATTGATGAACTGTTGTTACTGAGGAAGGCAATTCAATCAAAATTGGTACTTGCTAATGAACAGTTTGATTAACAGGATTTTCCTGTTAATTCCTGCTTGGGCTTCTCTCTCGATTCATACAGCTACAAGAATGCTTTGAAGATGGTGAGCTAAAGGGCTTAAAAGAAGAACAAGACAGCTAACCGGGCATGCTTCAAGAATGAGAAATTGTTCCGACAGGAACTGCTACTGCACCCAGCTGATCTCCTGGTGAATGAATCCATGTCTGGAGAACCTGACAATACTGAGACCACCTCTTTGCCTGTATTGGTGAGATATTATCACTTTTACAGCTAAATATACTTGATTTAGCTTTGCTTCCGGCTCATTTAACAGTGAATACTTGTAGTAAATAAAGCCTTTCTGTCATTCATCGAATGAGTTGTTGTGTCAATAATACACTAGTCCTGAATCCCATTTCATCACTTAACAGACTGGAAGGCCTCTGGGACATTGCAGGAAACGCTGCAGACAAGTATGACTGCTAGTACTGTCACGTGTCTGAGAATATACCGTTGATAAGACTAACACTCAACCAGTCAAATTCACATATATATCAGTGGAGCAGAAAGGGTTTGGAGTAAGACTTTTTTTTTTTTTTTTTTAACCTTAAATAACAAAACCTCCCAAACTTCTGTCGATAAAATACCAGTCACTAACTCATCATTAAATCATGATGTGGATGGTCTCCACTACCACACCACTTGAATTCCAGCACTATGAAAAAACATTTATACCAAACATCCTTCTAAAGAAGAAAATCAAATGAATGAAACCTTAAAAACATCAACTGCAGAGACTGCCTCAGCCTGATGAAGGGTTTTTAAACCCGAAAGCTTGATAAAAAAAATGTCTAACTATTTAAGTTGGTCTACTAAATGAAATCAGAATCACCCAAAGAACCTTGTCTACCTTAAACTAGACTCTTTCCTCTGAAAGTATCTTCTTCCCTCCCTTTGAGGCATCCACATCTGTCCCCTGACTCATGTAATAACACAAGTAGTTATAAGGTCTTTGGAGCAGAGAGGGAAAGATACCATGGTGATGTTGGTAGTATGAAAAATTGGAAATTTGTCATATGCTAGCAAACTGCAATGCGCATCCATATACAGTTTTTTGCTTTAACCAACAGCACATACTCCCTTCCCTTCTTGCTTCTCTGGTGCAGAGAAGGCAATCTATAAAGCTAAAAACAAAAGTTCTGAACTTCAAACTGTTCTAAAGAGGCTTGATATTATACACGGCTGGATCATTCCTGAAGATTAAGCCTTCCTTCTTATCTAAAATATAGTCATCTGGCAAAAGTGATGTTCATGAAAACCCCTAAAATTAGAGAATGCAGGATATATGAGAGGCAAAGATTTCTTAGGGGGATGTTTTCTATTGGACCAGCTGTATAGTTGGGATAGAGTTAGACAAGCTTTCAAATGCAAGACATTCTTTAAGTTTTGCATTTGAAAGTCTGCCTAACTCTATCCCAACTGTATGGTTGGTCCAATAAAAGATATTCCCCTAAGAAATCCTTGCCACTTGCATAATTTCTGTGGGTTATCACAGCTATGACATCACACCTACAGTACCAGAAGGCAAGATAAAACACTCCAGCAGCAGTTCTAATAGGCAAAAAACATTAGTCATCAAAATGTAACATGAATTCAGTTGTAACAGTTATGTCTCATTTTTCATATATGTTTTAATATATGTTCAAAACAGCATGTAGCATACAAGCATTTTCTGTTAATTTCAGTGGAAGATCTCGGGAAGTTGGATATGTACCTTATGTTGAATTTAATAGAAGATGTATACGTAAACTCCCTAGGTTATATGATTAAATCTCAGTCAGAATTACCTTTCTGTAAGAATTTCTATTTCTCCAAATGAAAGGCTACAATATATGATTTCCATTACATGATAGTCATTCACAGACTTTACATACATGAGCACTTACTCAGATTTCTGCAGCATTTTGAAAATCCCTTTGGATAATGAACATGCATATAATTCATTAGGGGTTTTTTCCTGGCTGACTTTTAGTTCAGCAAATTAACACCATATGTATGTAACTTACAACAGTATCGCTAGCTGAGGTTTAGTTTAAGCTTTCACAGACAACTCTGCGAATGACATTTCTTAGAAGTTTTGGTTCCTTCCTCAAACTTCATAGCTGTAGGAACACAGTGTACTTATATTTACAGGCATCTCCTACTGTACACAAAACATTTTCCCTGCATTAGAGGCAATCTGGATATAGAGAGAAAAAAGAGTTTAACATACCAGGCTCTTGACAACTTTCAGCAACTCCTCCATTACCACGGCAATGCCTTGGTATCCCAAAAGCCGGCAGATGACTTTAAAGTGTGGGGGCCCCACAAAATTCCTGTAGTTGCTATAAATGCTGGAATAAGCCAAGTTCAATGCCTGATGATAAAAAAAGTTTTAATTACCAAAACATCTCAATTCACTGCACTTTCATAGTTCTCTTGCATAATGTTCTTTGCTTCTGAGTAATATTTTGAGCGTACTAAACTCTCAGGACTTGGCCTCTATCTCAAATACATAACATTAAACAGAAAGCATCCTTTTAAAAATTAAAATTCTCCATATCAATGATAACAATGCTTAAAACCATTAAGTGCTGGTGACCAGACACCCTCCACTTACCTTTCATTACAGAAGGTTCATTTCTCCTTCAAATTTATGTCTAACTCATGGTTAGAAGAGCACAGAAGTGGCTCAGACCAATACCTAGACTCCTAAATATAAAACTGTACTTATCCTGGTATCATAGTCTCATTTACAGATCATTTAGGGGGCAGAAATTTCTTGATGGAAGCTACTTCAGCTTCCATTTTATGATGCCTATTCTAATGCTCTAATGGCTCCAGTAATGAGACCAGACTCCTAAAGTTACTGCTCTCTGCAAATTGAATACAATAAAATCTGACATTCAAACCCGCTGCTCTCTATACCAAAACAAAACAAATGGTCCAACACTGGGTCAACAAGCTAATGGAAATTATACTGTCAAATAATTCCTGGACCCAGACCATTAGCTAGGAGTCCCAAGCCCCAACGACTTAATTCCTATAAGTCTGTAACTTCCCCATGCCTTGCTTCATACTAACTGTAGGCACAAGAACAGCAGTAATTGTGCACATATGATCACACAAAATTAGGACTGAAAGCAGGTGTCACAGTCAGAAAAATGTTAAGACCGGCTCTCCTGAGCTCCCATTGATCACCAGAATAAAGAAAAAGGACTGGGCGGATTTATATCATCTGAGGGTCTGGAAGACTGCACATAGCTGACGTCCGGGGAAATGGCAGAGGTTCCACGGATTCTTTTGAGGAAATTTGCCCAGTTTTCTTGGAAAAGCTAGGTGTACAATTAGACCAGAGGTGGGCAATTACTTGGGCAGGAGGGCCACTTAGGGAGTTTTCACGGGTCAGGTTAGTACCATCTGCCGCTCCCCCCCCCACCCCAACAACTCACCAAAAACC